ATGAATCCATGAATCCCGTTCTGAACAGCTGCACGTCAGGGCTGGAGCCACACGCCGCTAGAACCGACCACTCCCCGCGTGGCCCCCCCGAAAGGCTTGGCTTCCCCGCCCCACGGCAGGGGGAGGCAACAGCTCTCACCTCAAGATGTCTGGAGGATGGTTAGACTTATAGTTCCTGGTGTGTAAGTCGCTGAATACAAGAATCAGACTGAGAGAACCCCATAAGTTCAAGAACCCAACCATCGATTTCCGAGTGAAGCTCATGAAATGCAGGCCAAACGAAGGCCTCAGGAAACGCCTCCCTCCAAGCGATCCTTTGTTGACCTCCAAACATCTCCAAACCTTGGGTACGGCCTCACTGTCATATGGCCTTTAGTCAGGTCTTTACAGGTTTTTCAGCACAGGTTTATGAAGTGCTCTATGAACACTCCAAGTGGGATTCTAAGATATTACCAGATTACCAGGTTTCAGTGGATGATGATGGGGGTGATGGGGCCTGGTATTTCCGGTTGCAGGCCTTTCCATGTCGTCTAAAAATAGTGATGTTCCTTTCGTATACCGACAGCTCTACAGGTTTACTGGGACAGCCTCAATCCAAGCCATTCGATGCATGAGATTCATGTTCTTCAACTTGGAACTGGGTAAGACATGTAATTCCGGAAGACAATCTTATATAGCGGGAGACCCAGCGACCTGCCCCATCGAACAGCGAGATGCTTGAAAGGCTTGATACCGAACATGTACCTCAAACATAACGTCAACTTTGGAAGGACTCACTGCCATTGGTGGAAATATCCATCAAACACTTGTCACAACGAGTGTGCTGTAGACCTAGTCGCTGAACAACCTAAAAAATGCAAAAAGACACATGCATAAACCAAAACGCATACGGACCAAGCTTGCACAGTCAGTGCACTCTTCTTATTCCACAACCTTAAAACATCTTAAAACCCTAAACCCTAAACCCAAACCCTGTCTTCCACACACCAACTGTCCAGGTGTTTAGGCGTCCAGTCCTTTGGTGTTTGCGCTGAACCAAAACCCAAACGTATCACCCTGAGTCCTCCCTGCTCGGCCCCCGGGGCTGCTCGGCGGGGTCATCAACACCGCCTGACGGAAAGCGAAAGGGAAAGCACCGGAAAGCTCGGTAGCCACGGGGCAACTGGGCATGGTAGAAGCGGCTGGCGGTTGAGCGACCAAGGAAGTGCTAAGCATTGGTTCTGGGGTTGGTTCTTGGGAAGAAGGACTGTTGAAAGATACTTAATGTGTCAAGGCAAGTCTGAAGTGGAAGACCTGAGCTTCCAATTTCGGCCATACTGAGGGAACAAACGGGTAAACATGTCCGCATTCAAGCCACCCGAGATGAATTCATGCTCGAGGATATTATGTTATTATGCGCAATGTGTTGTCTTCAGAATGACCAAACATACAGAATGTACAGGAGTCTCCAGCGACCCCCTTCAGTCAAAAGCAACATGAATTGGATGGGCTCCTCTGTCTTAAAACAGCCCTGATATAGTCCCGCAACAAAACTGGCTGGCTAGCACTGTTGAAATGAGAAGTTTGTAAACTGACATGACAAGTTACAAAACCCACACAAGGAATAAAAAACCATAGTCAGTAACTAAAGCCGGTGTCATTAGAGCACGTCTCATCCATGCCATGCCCCCGCCAGCGGTCGGCTGCACCTCTGCTTTGGTCACTGGCTCCGGGAGGAGGCTCCGGATGACGCCTCCGGGGGTGACGGAAACCCGTTTTCTCGAAATCCAGGAAACCCTGGACCCTGGAGATGAGCAAAGCACTGTACATATACTCCCTGAAAAAACTTTGAAAGTCAAAACACATGCAACACTGCACATAAATACAATCCCAGAAATAATCAACCTGTTTGTGGAGTTCACCACCTGTTTGGTATTCGGAAAGCGGTCATCCGAAATAGAGGCCCAGCCATTCACTTCCATCCCTGATACTTTCAGGAGTGTGGATGGGAAATTTTCAGGAGCCGGAATGGTGGGAAAAGGATGCACAGTTTTGTGCGGGTTGTTTGCCACGATCCTTCAGCTTCACATGCTTCGATTTCATCTGCAAATGGACTTTTGTGAGCAACACGCACGTCCGGTCTTCAAGGCGCAAAAATGCTATGGTGGGGGTAGGATGGGAAGCTTCCCATAACATAGATCCAGACTTGCTTGATACTGGACCCGCAAATAAGAAATGGTACTTTGCATTGTGCTGCCTCTTTCCTTCCATGGAAGTGGAACAAATCCACTATGTAAAGGACAAGTGTCTTCGGAGCGTAGATGTTATGCTTCCATGTTGGATAGCTTGCAGACCAAATGGATGCTTCCATGTTGGATATCCATGTTCGATAGGTGCTTCGATTGCTCCATGAGGGTCCCTCAAGATCCTCCCTTTTTTGAAAGGAACCCCTCAGTGAGGGCGCCTGGCGGCATGCCCTGCATGGCGCAAACCTCCTCCGCGATCTCTGCCGCAGCCTGAGATCTCCATCGAACACTTGGCAATTATTTTATTGAGAGTTCTCTCGGATGTGCTAATATAACTATCTTGGAGTGGGGTTATACGATTTCACCTCATGGATGGATTCCAGTCATCCGTTGAATTTGTTGCCAATCACCTCTCATCACCTCTCCAGCCTCTGGGCCATACATCTTCGCAGCCTCCAACTCCTGAGTGCTGACGGTCAGCATGGTGCACCGTCGACGGCATCAGTTTGGACGTCTCAACAAGTGGCAGTCCACCACATCAAATCAGGGCAGTGAAGATTGGTATCATGGCCCAGTGATTTGTTTGGGACTTGTGATTTTGTCATGGACCTTGATCCTCACAACTGATCCACAGTCTTCCACTTTATCAGCCATGGGGTTTGCTCAATAAGAGTGCCAAGTCTTGTCTACTTCAAGGGAACGTGCTCTTCACATAACCATGTTTCAGCTTTGCCCACAGTTTGCCCAACTACCACCGGGAACAAACATTATGCACAGGAAGTTGATCAACACAAACAAAAACATTGCACATTTATTTGTTTTTGTCTTTTCATGTTATCATGATGATCTACCGATCTACCTCCTTCAAGTGTGAAAAGGGAGCACCTCTCAAATTGCAAATATCTTCTTGGCAAAACATGGACTTCACTGACTTCACCTGCTTCTCCTTTATGTCCATACCTTAACTACACTGCCTCCAAAAATGGAAGCTGAAAAAGAAACAACTCGTCTCTTCATGGTGCTATGCCCATCCACGAGGCTATCTGCTGCTTTCCATCATAGGCCATCTACTCCCACGTTGTTTCTTGAATTGAAGGGTGTATGCTGTATACTTCGATCTTCCAACTACGCAACATGTTTGCCATCTGGCCGGCAGCTTTATAGCTGAACAGGCAAACATGTGGCATATGGCAATCGTTGGAAGTGACACCAATCGTCACACCAATCGGCATGAATCCATGCTGTTCAATCGCCTGCCACAACGTCGACCCGTCGACCCGGGTCGACTCGCTCCTCTCGGAGGCGCAAGGACTTCACCTCCTTCTGCGCGCGCAGCACCGCCTGGCGACGTGACAGTGCTCGGCAGTACAAGGCCATGGGTGCGGAAGTAGTAAAAGCCAACGAGCTTCTTGTTACTAGTAGAAATGCCCTAGCTACGTTCGGATTGTGTCCGATCGCGAACGGTTCGTAGCAATGCCCTAGTAGCTCCGTTCGTAGCGAACCTTGCTACTGTGAGGCCTGGCTGCATGGATCATAAGCAGCCTACTCTACTTATCATCAGCATAAGTGGATCAGGCAGCTCAGGCTGCTGGTTCATCTGAAGAACTGAATGGAACGGAATGGAACCTGCACATCCAGTCAGTCCTCGTTTTGGTGCATCTCCACGCCACGCGTCCAGTCCAGGCCCACACTGGGCCACCCATTGAAGAAGAAACTGCTGATACATAGGGAAGAGTATCCCAGAAGAAGGCAAGCAGTACTCGGATAGGTCGATCTTGTCTTTTTGGGGAGAGGCTCAGAGAGTTCTTGCTGCGACGATTCAATCTTCAGCTTCAGGGTGCAGCTTTGCACATGCTTGGACACATTCAGGTAATTAGATCCACCTGCTGTTGAACCTTGTGTAACATGAGCTCAAGAATCTAGTTTTAGAAATCTGCGGACAACCCAGATCTGCAGTCAGCCTCTGCAAAGCGGTGGAAGAAGAGAAAAAGGTCCTGCAGCCGTAAAGGGTGGTCGCTGTAGCTCGGTGGATTTTTGGAGAGATGATTGTCTATATATTATTTTAAATTGGTTTAACACTTTGATACTTATTGTGTTCCATAAGATGTTTTTCGAAACATATCATTTACATATTCAAAGTCATGCAGGTTTTGGGTGAATGTTCAGCTTGAAATGCATGCTCCTGAAGCCTGGATTTTGTCGCTTCGCCTCTTTCAGCAAATATTTTGTTTCAACCTGTCTTATGATCGAAGCTTCGCTGGACTGGAAACAGAACCCAGAGGGAAAAGTGTTGGCAGATCCCGCCTTTAAGGAGGACTACGGTCCATATATTCGCCGCAAGTTGATGGTTCAAACATCTTGTCAACCGGTCCCTTTCATTTTGCTAGGCCCGTTTGATCAGGATCCGATCGGATCACTTGAAAACAGCAGTTACCCTGCATGAGTAGCACAAGAGACAGAACGGATTCCAATGCACTGCGAGACAGGATTCACTGTTTGATCTATATGATGGATGGGGTTCCTATCTGCAATGAAGTGGTCTTGTAACAATCTCATTGTGGGACTTGCGGGACACACACAGCCAAGCACAGCCCTCTTTCAAAGCTGAACAGGCCCAACTTCTGGTGATGGTGAAACGGGTTCCCTCGACTACACGTGACAAAACAAGTGACACTGTTGTAGTGAGTCAAGCAGTGATGCATATCAATGCAAACGGCGGCATTTTGTGAAACTCGCATCTATTTAAACCACACACCAGTCCGAGCATTAATCTGTTTAAAATTCATCTGCCTTGGCATCTGTATCGCTGACTCTTGTCTGATCTGCTTGTCTTCCTACCACGTCGGCATCCGGTGATGTGGATGATCTTGCTGGGGTACCTCGGATTGCTTTGTCATGAAGCAAGCATCCTTCAAATAGCGGCCATGGTCTATCTGAATTAGGATTGGCCGCTTTTTACACAAGTTGAGCAAACAACAGAGCAACGTTCATGATTTTCTATGCGGACTATGCAGGAATGCTTGCAAGCTCGCTCAAGCTCGCAATTGCTTCAAGCAATTTGCAACCCCATGGAGCTAGGAAGACTTGCTGTTCCCATATGTTGAGACAGTACAGCAACAACCAAATATCACGACACAATCAACTCCAGGAAACCTGTCGCAGCTTTGCTTTTCTTCACTTTCTTCTTCTTCCCTTCCTTTGGCGGCTGAGGCAACTCGGCCTTTTCCTCCACGATGATTTCCGAGGGAGCTTCTTGCACCTCATCTATAGTTAGGCTAGCATCGTCACGTCCATTACCATCGCCGACTTCATGGCCTGCGTCGATTTCAGCAAGCTTCTTAGGAGAGCATGAAGAGCATTGGATGGACGAAGCCTCTTCATGCCCATGTTCATCTGGCAAACGATCCAGCTGCGTCATAACCATTGGCCAGCGAAGGGGCATGGTGTCTTCGTCCGTTGCCTCACACTTGATGCCATTGATGATGCTATCACGGCACTTTGACCTCACCTCGGAACAAGGAATCCAGCAAACATTACCTGTAAGGAAAAAGCCAACCATTCAATTTCTTGTTTTGTTGTGAAAGACATGATATGTAGAGAGAGAGAGAGAGTTGGTATGCCACTGAAGTCAGAATGAAGTTACATAATTGTATATACTATAATCATATATTATATGTATCTGTGCTGTTCAAAGCAGGACAAACACGAAGTTCAATTCTCACTGGAATCCTAAGTGCAGAATCGTGAGCTGCTAGCTGACCATTCATCGGATGGCAGAACTAAAGAAAACACTCAGGAAATTCCAAAACCGGGTGACCCACCAGCAATAGGCCTCACCGGCAGGTGAATGCATAAAGATACCCAAGCACCCTGCGACTACCTTCCACGTTTTGAAGAGGTCATGGCTCTTTCTCAGTTCCCAGCCGTCTGCAAGGCACAGTTGAAGCCTTGTGACCCTGTTGCCAAGGACTGGGACAAGATCATAAGAGTCACAATCTTTTCGGTACACTGGGAAGTGGTTGTTGTAGAAGTAGCTCAGAGTGTAAAGGCCACATGCCTCGCTCAACTCACCGGTAAATCCGTCAAGCCTCACAGATCGTGGCATGGTATGCTTTGCCCACTACACCATCAAAGGCTTCAACTGGCAAATGGTTCCCTCGCTGCCTTCAGGCAGAACACTAGGAACTGCCAAACACACTCTGCTGCCTGGCTCCAGCCCTTGGACGCCAATGATTTGTGCAGCCAGCTTCTCAGGTGACAAAGTGGCGCAGAATGCAAAGAACTGTGGTGGGGTCAAGCGGTGGGCCATCCTCTCGATCACTATTTCCTTCCAGGCCCAGAAACGGGTTCCATCTTGAACAATTCCTGCGAGGAAGTCCATCCTGGTCATGTCCAGGTCATTCATGGACATGAGGTTGTTTGCGAAGCAAAGAAAACGCAGTAACTCCTCCCATGTCCAGTTGTCAGGTGAACGCTGCGCCACGAAGTCCACTTGGCTCAGTTTCACTTGCAATGCCGATAGCCCAAGAGCGGCCAGCACAGCCAGCCCCAGGCTCCACAAGAAGACCCATAGGACAGCTGCTTTCTTGAGTTCTAACGCACTGGCATTGTACTTCCACTCTCTGGTCAAAATGTCCAGCACTTTGCCTGGCTCAACCAGCGGCAGCAATTTCAAACAGGAGAAATTGCCAATGGCTTTCATCGCCGTCGTGAAGACGATCAAAGAGCCCGAACCAGAGCAAAGCCATTTGATAAAGTGAAACGACATAACCAGCAAGGCAGCACAAACAAACACCACTTCGATCCACGCAACAACATGTTTGCTGACCAGCAAATGGTGTTCGGTTTCCCACTCAGGTAAAACAACAATGTTGTACATGTAGAAGAATATATTCATGCATGCCAGAACGATTTCAATGCCACACAAAATTGCTTCTTTGAAACTCGGCTTCAGCTTCTCCAGATCTTCATCACAGCATTTTGGCCCCGTCTTGACAAATAAGTGAGACCAAAGGTCTTGTCTCTTGCGAGAGTGAGTCTGTTCCTCGAGTAGAGATTTGCTGGAGCTCTCTTCCTCTAGGTTTTCCTGGTTCTTAAACATGTCCTTGAGTAGCCACATGCACTTTCCCATGTGGGCGTCTCGAAGTAGTGGACTGCCCAAGCTCGAACAGGACAAACCGACCAAGGCCAATCCCATCCATCCCACTCTGAGATGCCATTCACTTTGGAGTCCAAGTGCTGGCTTGCTCAAGTCGAAACCTTGCAACGACCACACCAAGCAAGCCAAGCCTGGAAGACAAGCACCTCTTTGGGCCATTTGGAGACATCTACGACGTATGCGTGCCACGAAGAACTGGAGAGTGAAGTCTGTCAGCTGCAGCTCAGACGGTCTTTCGTCACTGCTGCGACTGGCATGCCTTGCATGACTCCAATGACGCGTGCAAATGGAATTGTAATTTGGCATAATCACATGTCAACAACCGATCGTGCGAAGGATTTGGGCCCAAAACAGGCCGCCTTTCCACGGAAGAAATCGGAAGGACGATCAACAACACTGACGTGTGCTTGCTCTCGGCAGGGACATAGTGCAAATGAGTTTTCTGAAGGACAGAAACAAGACTTGGGCCGTAAGGTGTAAATGGAGAGAACGACATCTCGAGGCACTAGAACAAACAACACAAACGTATATTCCATGCATGCGTCAGCATCATCTGGGTGTACCTGTCCAGGATCAGCCAATATGAAGCCGAACAACAAATCTATCCATCCTGCCATCCTCCTGTGTCATCTTGACAAATCATTATTCTACATGTCTCCTGCGCTTCGTCGTTGCTTTGCACCGGCGGAGGATAAAACGCCTCCTGAGACCGGGCATCTCTCCAGGGTGAAGGATGGCACAGTGAGGAAGATCACGCAACATCACCAACTTCTCGGTAACATGTGTTCTTGACATTAAATTCAGATTTATCATATATAGCCGCTGTGTCCACAGCACTTTCTGGGGAATGCCTAGTCCCCAAGAGAGAAGAACTCACAAGCTTACAATTGTTTAAAGATACTTTTTGTTTGGGAACTTGGAACACCTCCATATCACCATGATTCTGTGTATGGAAAATCAACCACACCCCAAACTGCCTCCAAAAGGCGACCCCACTTCACCACCTCGCCCACTTGGGCCATCCACCTCGCCACCTCTTCCCACCTGCTCACATCTCTCTCGGCTCCGCGCAGGCTCTCCGAAAAAGACGGCCAGTTCCTCGCCGCTTCGCCGTCTCCACTCCACCGATGGAGCGGGGGTCGGAGTGGACCCACGTGGACCGGGCAGGAAAGGGCCGTAGGCAGCCGGTCCGGCCTGTGAGTTCCTTCCACTTCAAACAACCCGTGTTCATCGGTTCATCATGATTGCCTTGTTTAGGGCCGTGTTAACGTTGTTCTTAGGTTGTTGGAGCATCTCGTTGTGTCGGTTTGAGCTTCCAATAGTGTATCTGTCATCGTCTTTCTACGCCTTTCCTTTCGATATGACAGCAGTGCTTCTGTTTCTCACTTCATCGCCTTGTAGCCGCGATAGAGGTCAAAGCAGTGCTCTGCCAATGAGATGGCCTGGCATCGGGGCTGAACATATCGGTCGGTCCTGTTGAATTAGCACATGTGCAACCACTTGCTGGCAAAGGAACAACACCCCGGCGTTCAATGAACTAACATCAACAAACTCATCAACAAGCAATAACAATGCATGCCGTTCCTCTTGTTTGGAAACCAATGGCAAGGCAACCAACTCAAGAATCTGCTAGAACAGAAAGTCGATTCTACTGGATGGAAACTCATTCTATTTCATTCTGCATCATCTTCACTGATTATTTCTACTGGTGCAATGGGTTTGAAGGGGCTCTTGCAGCTCTGGATTCAAGTTTCAAGATCTGAAACGTGCAGCGCTTCGATGCGCTTCGTGTTCATCATGTTTCTTTCGAAAAGCTCTTCCAAAGGCGAATGGAACATGACGATCATGACGCAGTGTGTTCGAGAAACCAGACCTTCACATATGGTTTTAGGATGCGCCTGGCTGGGAAAGCTTTTTCTTTCATGTTTTTGCACTCCTTGGGAACCATATCAACATCTGAAATAAGTCCTGCTCTCTGAAATTTCGCAGGAGCACTTCTTTGGGGAGCGAAGAAAACGGGCCGCCTTGAAAAACCTCCTGTGCCAGGCCTCGGGCGTGCGGCTCTGGAGGAAGCTGTGGAAGTTGGCGTGGAAGGTGTCCTGCAGGGATTGACACCTGTTACTTCACACGTCCTTTTGAGCCCCATGGAGTGAAAGGGAGTTGCCTTGCGCAAGAGCAGCGGTGCTCTTTTGGGATGTTTTGACATGCTCACGTTGATTCGTGCTCTTTTGGTTGTCATTTCGTTATCGTCATACAGTAGATGTTGATGTATATGTTGGTGTTTCCTCACGATGTTGGTTGTGGTTGCTCCTCGTCATCGCGCTTGTTTGTAGGCTTGTGGAGTCGGTGGTGTGTCGTAAGAGTCTTCAATGCTGTTGCTGTCTTGAGGGGAAAACATAACAAATATATAATGCCCCAAACATGAAAGTACAAGTACCAATTATCTGTCCATCATTTGACACCACAGACTACCATCTACTATTGTCTCATGGCCCTACTAGAAAAAACACAAAACAAAACAATATATCCCAATAGGCCCTGGCGCGGCACCTGTGCCTGTAACAGCCTTGGAAAAAAATAAATCTGGAGGGGTTAAAGCACAAGCGGACCAAAGCACCTTGAAGCAATGTCCAACCTTGGGAATACATGGAAAGCTTTACACCATTGTATTGGAGGCTGACTTTTACCTCTACTATTGGTCGTACACTTGGGATATGCCGGTATCCCCTCTATTCAATCAACCAATCAAGAAAAGGCCATCTATGCATCGCACTTGTCGGTCAACTGGAGCGTGTCGGAGGATTGAACCCCGATCGCGTCCTCTTCTGGAGCCTGCCACGGGCGGCGCTGCTCTGCTTGCGGGGAGGGAGGAGGTGCAAGGGAGGTGCATGCTGTGAGCGTTCAATGACCAACGGAGAGACCGAACCTATGTGAGTGCGTCTTGAAATCGAAAGGGACATGTCTGGTCTAGTGATTAAAAGTACAAAACAGTGTGACATGAGGTCACATGTCCATTCACTATCTCAGCCGACGTGGTCAATGATGTGCAAGGCTAAATATTGATGTGGCTTGATCTTTAGAAGGAGCAAACACTAGTAGCGTCAGCTCGTGTATTGATAAACCCTGGAGGACTTGGGGTATTATCTTCCCTCAAACAATGCGAACAGGGAATACAATTCATGGAGGACGGTATAGGACTGCAAACTATACTAACTATACTTAACAAATGCTGTCATGCTTGCAAAGTACAAGCTTAAGTCACACTCTCTGTGTTCACCAGCTGAGGTCTAGGCCTCATACATGTATGGTTATATAATGTTATAGGATTATAGGAGTATCATGTTGCTTCACCCACCTTGAAGTGCGAAAAAAATCCAGCCTCTAGACCTCATACCCGACCCGAAGGACCTGAATACCGGAACCGGCTCCCGAACGCTGTGGCCTGGTCGCTCTTCCGTTCGACCTGACGGCAAACACGCACGAAAAGCGAGGAGGACGAAGCGGACCCGGCTGGAGAGGTCCAGTTTGACGAGATTGTTTTGGGGGTAACATAGCGCAGTAGAGAGAAGATTCCTTCAGGAGCTTGAACAAATACGGATAAATCATTATCCACTATACATCTGCAGACTGGTTAAGCTTCCAAATACAATGCAGCACCTGTTGGAGCCATCTTTATGACCACTGCAAAGACCGCTTTGAGGTGATATTTGTGCCTTAAAGACCCCCCAAATTGTCCCGTAAGGGAAAGGTATGGGAAAGATCTAGAATGGTCTAGAATCTAGATGAACGCGTAAGCCTGGCAGCAAAACAAACGGTGACCCACAGCAAAGGCAGGGTTGTGTGAGAATCCTTCCCTGCTGCTATAGATAGCTGAATGCTGAATAGAATGCTGAATTGTTTCGGGTACTGACAAATGCTTCTGCATCACCTGAGTTCTAAAGTTCTATTGAATGCATATCCAATCTGCATGTTACTGCATGATTTATGGTATCATACCGCATCAACTCTGTATATTCGGTCAACCATCTACACGGAGAAAAAACACAAAAGCAAAAGCAAACCACATGAAAACACCCTCCATCTCCGCTCGCGAGCCCCGGCGCCCACCGTCGGACCCCCGTTATAAGCCGAAGCGGACACTGGAAGCGACGCGGACACTCGTTCGTTTTGGTTTTGTGTGGTGTTCCGCGCGTTTCGCGTTCGCTGGATCCGCCTGTGCCACGAGCTGCCGCAGCTTCGACAAGGACATCACCAGGTCGCGGCACCGCTCGTGCACCCCCGACGTCTTCCCTGTGGGGACGCACCGCTGGGTGGCTTCGGGAGGGACGAAGAAGGGACTCAAAGGTGTGAAGGTGACGTGCCTTTAGTCACAGCTTTGATTCAAGGGGTTGGGCGCCCTGGTTTTCTGGGTCAGGGCCCCTTTCTTGAGATCTTTTTGCTAATGCTTCGAAAGCCTTAGGGCCCAACGAAGCAGCTCAAAAGGAAAGCCATAAAATGAAAGAGATTCTTCTGCTTCGAATGTCAATATATTCACACCAGGAAATGCGGACATCCCACCCACACCAGCCAACGAATCTCCAAGACGGAGTCCATGGCTCACCGAAATCGGCTTTCCGCAGTCCCAAAAGGTCTCCGACGCTCGCTGATCCAAACGCATCGCTCACAACCCGATTTCGCATCGCATCGCCTAACAAGCCATGCGCCCGGATCGGATCCAAATGCTGTAGTTCTGCCAGCCGTGTGACCTCGCGAGGAGAGTGCGCGGAGAGCGCTTGGGGTGAGCGACTCATGTTAGGGATGCTTTCCACGAGCAACTGCTTGGGGCTCGACTTGGGCTCTACCTGTCTTGATCGATTCCAGGAGAATCTTAGAAGGCCACGAGCTAAGCAGCTAAGCATCCAAAAATTGAGTCATATCCTCTGGACGACTAGTGGGTGCATATTCAATTACTTCTTTTTTCGCGGCAGCGCTGGTGGGATTGAACTCAAACCTCCTCAAGGGCTACCAGCGGCTACCATGAAAGTATAGTGGCTCTATGCAGAAAGCATCCCCAACAAGTTGCTGGGTGATCATGGGTTATCCTTTCTGCATAGACCAACAAGAAACAAGGCTCCTATTTTTTGCAAGCAAGGACCTTGAGCAGTTGGACCAAAAAACACATGTTTCCTTACCAGTGGTTCTGAGGTTCTGCAGGATGTGTATCAAATTAGCATCTAAATTCTCAAGAAACAAACAATAACAAACATATTCGGCTGGTCAGCTGCTCTTGCACGATTCCGCTTCAGCTACATGGATGTGACAATATG